AAGAGGTCCCTTACGTTCCTTGTGAGTTATATTCCAAGGTATTTTATTCTTTTTGTAGCAATTGTGAATGGCAGTTCGTTCTTGATTTGGCTTTCTTTAAGTCTGTTATTGGTGTAGACGAATGCTTGTGATTTTTGCACATTGATATTATACCCTGAGACTTTGCTGAAGTTGCTTATCAGTTTCAGGAGTTTTTGGGCTGAGGCGATGGGGTCTTCTAGGTATACTATCATGTCGTCTGCAAATAGAGACAATTTGGCTTCCTCCTTTCCGATTTGAATACCCTTTATTTCTTTTTCTTGCCTGATTGCTCTGGCTAGAACTTCCAGAACTATATTGAATAGGAGTGGTGAAAGAGGGCATCCTTGTCTAGTGCCAGATTTCAAAGGGAATGCTTCCAGTTTTTGCCCATTCAGTATGATATTGGCTGTTGGTTTGTCATAAATAGCTTTTATTACTTTGAGATACGTTCCATCGATACCGAGTTTATTGAGGGTTTTTAGCATAAAGGGCTGTTGAATTTTGTCAAATGCCTTCTCTGCGTCAATTGAAATAATCATGTGGTTTTTGTTTTTGGTTCTGTTTATGTGGTGAATTACATTGATAGACTTGCGTATGTTGAACCAGCCTTGCATCCCCGGGATGGATCCTACTTGATCATGGTGAATAAGTTTTTTGATTTGCTGTTGCATTCGGCTTGCCAATATTTTATTGAAGATTTTTGCATCTATGTTCATCATGGATATTGGCCTGAAGTTTTCTTTTCTTGTTGGGTCTCTGCCGGGTTTTGGTATCAGAATGATGTTGGTCTCATAAAATGATTTGGGAAGTATTCCCTCTTTTTGGATTGTTTGAAATAGTTTTAGAAGGAATGGTACCAGCTCCTCTTTGTGTGTCTGGTAGAATTCGGCTGTGAACCCGTCTGGACCTGGGCATTTTTTGTGGGGTAGGCTCTTAATTGCTGCCTCGACTTCTGACCTTCTTATTGGTCTATTCATAGTTTCAGCTTCCTCCTGGTTTAGGCTTCGGAGGATGCAGGAGTCCAGGAATTTATCCATTTCTTCCATGTTTACTAGTTTATGTGCATAGAGTTGTTTGTAATATTCTCTGATTATGGTTTGAATTTCTGTGGAATCTGTGGTAATTTCCCCTTTATCATTTTTTATTACATCTATTTGGTTGTTCTCTCTTTTCTTTTTAATCAATTTGGCTAGTGGTCTGTCTATTTTGTTGATCTTTTCAAAAAACCAGCTCTTGGATTTATTGATTTTTTGAAGGGTTTTTCGTGTCTCAATCTCCTTCAGTTCAGCTCTGATCTTAGTTATTTCTTGTCTTCTGCTGGGTTTTGAGTTATTTTGATCTTGCTCCTCTAGCTCTTTCAATTTTGACGATAGGGTGTCAATTTTGGATCTTTCCATTCTCCTCATATGGGCACTTATTTGTGAGGGCACTTTTAAAGCAACTCTAATTTCTTTGCTATATATACCACCATTCAGATTTTCTGGTTTTTTCTTTACCAGTTTTGTTAAGTTGTATTTTCAAGTAATTTGTTCATTCCATCTAAGTTGTCAAATGTGTTGACATAAAGTTGTTTATAATCTTCCCATGTAATGATTTTGATAAATAGAGACTCTATTACACTATGCCCTCTTTTATACCTGATACTGGCAATTTGTGTTTCTTTCTTGTTAGAGATTTATTAACTTCGTTAAACTTTTCAAAGAAGAATATTTTGCTTTCCTCATTTCCTCCTAGTTTGTTTTCAGTTTCTTTGATTCCTGCTCTTTATTATTTCCTTTGTTCTCCTTATTTTGAGTTTAATTTCTTCTCTTTTTCTAGATTCTTGGGGTGGAAATGAAAATCAGTTATTTTAAGGTTTTCTTCTTTTTGATTGTAAGCAATTATAGCTATGAACATTACATCTAAGAACTGCTTTAGCAACATCTCACAAATTTTGATACGTGGCATTTTCACTGTCATTCAGTTTAAAATACTTCTCATTTTCTTGTTATTTCTTCCTAGAATCACAGATTATTTAGAAGTTTATTGTTTAATTTCCAAATATCTGGGGAATTTCTACACACTTGGCTGTTATTCTCATTTAATCTCTTGTGGCCAGAAAACATGCTAGAAAAATTTCAGTATTTTATAATTTTTTGAGACTTATTTTGAGCCTGGGGTCTGGTCTATCTTGATGAAAATTCCACATCAACTTGGGAAGAGCATTTTGTCTTTGTTAGGTGTGGGGTTGTATAAATATCATCTCATTACAGGCGGCTTATAGCTCAGACCTGGTTTTTCTGCTAATGAGACAAGCATGTTACAAGATCCAACCAGGACTGTCAATTTGTTTGCTTCTCCCTTATGTTCTTTCAGATATTATATTTTGAATCACTGTATACACATTTGTATTTGTTATGCCTTCATGATGTACTGACCCTTTTCGACATGATAAAATAATCCTCTCTATTCCCAACAAACGTCTTTATCTTGCAGCCTATATCGCTTGATAATTATATAGACACTCTAGGTTTCTAGTGGTTAATGGTTCCACACGTAGTGGGTTAAACAGTGTTCCCCTAAAATTCACATCCACCTGGAACCTCAGAATGTGACCTTATTTGTAAATTTTCTTTGCAGATAGTCATTAAAGTAAGGATCAAAATGAGATCACATTGGATTAGGATGGGCCCCAAGTGCAGTAAGACTGAACTTATAAGGACATACAGACAGAAGAAAGAAGGCCATGCAAAGACAAAGCAGGGATTGGAGTGATGCTGCCATAAGCCAAGGAGCGCTAGGAGCCGCCAGAGGCTGAAAGAGGCCAAGAAGTATCCTCCCCTAGAGCCTTCAGAGGGAATGTGGCCTTGCCAACCCCTTGACTTTGAATTCTGGTCTCTAGAACTGTGAGATAATGAATTTCTGTTGTTTTAACCTTCCCAGCTTGTAGTAATTTCTTACCACAGATCTAGGAGATTAATACAGCATGTACATTAGTAAGTTTATGCTGCTACAACATAATATCATGGACTGGGTGAGTTAACAAGTTGTTTTACCTCAGTTCTAGAAGCTGCCAGTCCAAGATCAGAATGCCAGCATGGCTGTCCTCTGGTGAGGGCCCTCTTCCTGGTGTGTAGATGGCTACCTTCTCACTGTGCCCTCACACGGCAAGGAGGGTGTAAGCAAGCTCTTAGGTGTCTCTTGTTATAAGGGCACTTATCCCATCATAGGGCCCCACCCCAGGACCTCACCTAACCCTAATTATCTCCCAAAGGCTTCATCTCCACAAACCATCACACTGGGGCTCAGGACTTCAACATATGAATTTGAGAGAGACACATTCAGTCCATAACACCATTGTATATTTTTTCCTTCTTTTTTACTACCAACCTACTTGTGTCTGTATTTAAGGTGCGTTCCTTCTAAATAGCATTGAGTTGGGTCTTCTCTTTTTAATTCACTCTGATATTCTCTATTCCTTTATTTTGGTGGTGGCAGCGGTTAGTCCATTTATTTTTAGTTATAGTTGGATTTAAATCTACCGTTTTTATATTTGTTTCCTATTCAGTTCATTTGTTTGTTTCCCTCTGCTCCTTCTTTGTTTGGGTGTAATGGAATATTTTTGGTATTTGTTTTATTTCCCTATTGGCTTTTAAAACATACTACTTTGCATTATTTTTTAGTGGTTGCTGTAGGGCTGCATTTTACAAAATGATAGCTACTAACTAATGTAGTTATTTAAATTTAAAATTTAAGCTAATTAAAATTATGTAAAATTAAATTTTAGTTCCTTAGTCACAAAACCCACATTGTAAGTGTTCAATGAATATGTGTGACTAGCACAGCTGCCTTATATAGGACAAAGCAGATATAGACTATTTCTAACACTGCAAAAAGTCGTATTGGTAATTTATCACAATCTACTTATAGTTAATAAACTAACACAAAATGTTGGAAGTTTGTGTGAATATAATTCCTTACCCTCATCTTTTGCAGCATTTTCATATAGTTCACATATATTTTGTCTATATGCATCATAAATCCACAATACTAACACTTTTGCTTGAAAAGGAATATGATTTTTTAAGTTTAAAAGGAAAGAATATATATAGTCTTTATATTTACCCACATATTTACCATTTCTGCTGATCTTTATTTTTCCTCTAATCTGATACTATCTTGTGACATATACCCCGTAAAGAGTTCCACTTGTCATTTTTCATAGTGTGGATCAACTGATGACAAATTCAGATTTTTAATCTTATTTTTTACCTTTATTATTGAAATATAACTTTGCAACATGTAAAACTATATTGATCATCGTTTTTCAGCAGTGCAACTGTGTTGTTCTGTTGCCTTTTGACCTTTACTGTTTCTGATAAAAAGCTAACATTCTTCATATGTTGTTTATCACACATAATGTCTCTTTTTTCTTCAGCTGCTTTTATAATTTTCTCTTTATATTTGGAGTTCAACAGTTTTACTATGTGTACTTAGGTCTGATTTTCTATGTATTGGTCCTACCTGTGGTTCATTGGGTTTCTTGGATTTATAAATTGTCTTTTACCAAGTATCAGACATTTGAAACAACTATTTCTTCCAAAATTTTCTTTTTCCTCACTTCCTAAGTCTCTGCATTTATATTAGACCAGAATATATTGACCAACAGGACTCTGAAGATCTGTGTGTTTTTATTCCACTTCTTTTCTTCCATCTGTTTTTCTTCCATCTGTTTTTCATTAGAAAACCAGGGTTTTTCATATAGGATCATTTCTATTGATCTATTTTATAGTTCATCAATTTATTCTGTCTTCAATCTGCTGTTAGGCACCTCCAGTGAAGTTTTATTTCAGTTATAGTAATTTTTAATTTCAGTATTTCCATTTATTTCTTGTTATGCTTCAATTTCTCTGCTGAGATTCTCCATTTGCTCATTTATTATGTGTATTTAAATATGTGAACATATTTATAATAGCTGCTTTAAAATCCTTGTCTGCTAATTGTTACAGTTGAGTCATCTAGGCAACAATTTATATCAAATTTAGTCAGTCATGTTTTCCTGTTTCTGTGCATGTCTAGTGTTTTCTCGTTTGTTTGACATGAGAAATGATATGCTGTAGAGACTTTGTGTTCTGTCTTAATTTCTCTAATGAATTTTTGTTTTTTTATGTACTATAAAAAGTTCACTTAGCTTGACTCAGACTCCAAACTCTGACTCCCCTGAAGTGAGAAGCACCTGAAATCTTTGTTCTTTTAGCTTTTCTAGCATTTTGTCAGGCCACTGGGGTCTCCCCAATCTATTGTTGTTCACTGATCTGCCAGAGATTTGAGTAGATTTGATATACAGATATGTGGGGCTCACAACTCTGATGTTTCTTCCCTTCAAGGATTTCACTGCTAATGGTCTGGTTTTTCTTCCAGCTCCAAATTATATTCTCTGACATTTCAAGCCAGAAAGTATAGCCAGCTTCATGGGCCTGAGACCTGCAAATTCATACAAGGGCCACATGCAAGGTTGAATGTTCTGCTATCACTGTCTTGAAATTATTAGTTTTTCAATGAGGAGCCACATTTTAACGGATGTACATAAGTATAAAACTTCATCCTAGGCCTGGTGTGGAGGACAAGGTGGGAGGATCCCTTGAGCCCAGGAGTATCAGATCAGCCTGGACAACATAGTGAGACCTTGTCTTTACTAAAAATACAAATTTTTTAAATTAGCCAGGCCTGGTGGTGCACACCTGTAATTCTGGTTTTTCTGGAGGGTGAGGCGGGAAGATTATTTGAGCCCAGGAGTTCTACATTGCAGTGAGCTATGATCATGCCACTGCATTCCAGCCTGGGTGACAGAGAGAGCCCTGTCTTAAATATATATATATATCCATACTGTATTTGTTTTTATTTTCAGCTGGCTTTAAAATACAAACAAAATATCCTTCTTGTATGATACTGATAAAATTTAGCTAATAAGTTATAAAAGAAAAACAATTGCTTATATTATACTGGGTCTCAGTATTTTCAAAAGCCTTCCTTGCCTCACATACTACTCTTCCTCACCCTGATTTAAACAGGACCCTCTCTTATACTCTGAGAATCTTGTTATCTTTCATAGCACTCTCGTAATTTACAATTAATATATTTACCTGTGTTTTTAGGATTGAACATATTTCTACCTCATAAGTCTGTAAACTCCATGAGGACCCATGTCTTTGCCTCGTGCCTCACCCAGCACCAACAAGAATGCCTAGCATACTGTAGGCACTTAATTAAATGGATCAATGGATAAATGGACAGATGGATGAGTGAATGAATAGTGAAAATGACAGTGATATTTAGTAACATTTTCTATTTTGCCAAGTTAGATTTTCTATAGTACTTTCTTTTGCTCAAAGATCTAAAAGTATGCCATAATTTTGACAAAATTTTGGGAACAATGTTAGGTCAATAGTACATATATGCACATTTGTTATTAGTAGGACCCCCAAAAGAAGTGTGAATGCCAGATCTCCAACTTCTTGATTTAAAAATGTAATCCAGGCTGGGCGCAGTGGCTCACTCCTGTAATCCCAGCACTTAGGGAGGTGAAGTGGGTAGATCAGTTGAGGTCAGGAGTTCGAGACCAGCCTGACCAACACAGTGAAACCGTCTCTACTAAAAATACTTTTAAAAAGATACACACACACACACACACACACACACACACACACACACACACCTGGGCATGGTGGTAGGCACCTGTAGTCCCAGCTAATCAGGAGGCTGAGGCAGGAGAATCACTGGAACCTGGGAGGTGGAGGTTTCAGTGAGCCGAGATCACGCCACTGCACTCCAGCCTTGGTGACAGAGCTCCCTCTGTCTTACATTTTGTAAGACAAAAAAATGTAATCCAATGTAGTATTTACACGTAGTGCCGACGGGTACAGTGCACACTGTGCTTCATGCTGTGTTGCATTAAACAGCCTAATCTGGTGTGTTAATGAGATATTAGAGTATTTTAACTATCAGTTATAATATTACACGTCATTTTCCCGGAAATCAAGAAGCACATGAAAACAGGAGGTTTTTCACAAGCTATATTCAAATGTTCACCTGTTGCAGAAGCTGTATTAGATGATGTACGATCAGTGGGAAATAACTGAAGACATAGGACCACTGGCGGGCTTATTTCTCAGCGTCGTGGAGGCAGCGCACCTAGTCTGAACGCCCATCTGCTCCCCTCTGCGCCGTATTTTGGATTAATACAGTGTACAATCTCATATTCTCATTTCAGCAAATATAAATAGTACATGGCAATTAATATGTGCTTTTTTAAGGGTGGTTTTCATTTTTAAGGGTGGAGATTGTTGAAAATGGTGTCGTGGACCAGACTCCAGAATTGGAGATTTTGTAGAGGTCAAAGATATCATACTAATTAAAGTAAGGATAAAGAGTGTGAGGACACACGTGTAAGATAATGAGCAGAAAAGGGAGTGGCAAGGTGCAGAGATCTTTGCAAGCAGTGTACTGGGGAAACTGAAGGCTTTAAAGCCACGGTCTCTATCCCTGCACCCGGCTTTCCGTCCTTAGTTACTGTGACCCAAGATCAAAGCCACCCTGGTTTTCTAATTGCCGCAATTGCGGCTCCAGGTGGTGACTGCACAGCCACTGCGGCACTGTCCGCAGCTGCGCGCCTGGCTCAGACGGCAATGTTTACGGTACAAAATACCCGCCCGCGCGACGGTATTTACGGTAACGGGAACCCGGCTGCGCGGCAGTATTTACGGTAACGAAAGCCAAGCCACGCAGCTGTATTTACGGTAGCGAGGGCTGGACCGGCGGCGGCATTTACGGTAACGGGGGCCGGGCTAGCGGAGGCCGGTCCGCTCTGCCCGCTCTGGGCGTTATCAAGTGATCTCCAGCCAAGTCGGCCGCCACCCCCTGCACTCAGCGAAAAATGCAAAATGGCCCTCTGGGGCAGTGAGGGGCCGTGGCCCTCGGCCCGGGCCCGCCGCACCCCCTTAACGCAGCTGGCGGCCTGCAGCGCCGAACGGCGTCCGGGTGCAGCCCCCTCCCGCCCCTCCTCAGCGGCGCCAGCCTGAACCGGGCGCGGGAACCAGGCCGCTCTCGGCGACCAACCCGCCCTAGTCCCGCGCTCCCTGCTCGGTGCCGCGCCCACATGGGTCTGTGCTACAGTCTGCGGCCGCTGCTTTTCGGGGGCCCAGGGGACGACCCCTGCGCGGCCTCGGAGCCGCCGGTGGAGGACGCGCAGCCCGCTCCGGCCCCGGCCCCAGCCCTAGTCCCGGCGGCCGCAGAGGACACGGCCCGGACCCCGCTCCCTCGGGGCGGCGGCGGGAGCCCGGCGTGCGCTCGGCCCAAAGCGGACAAGCAGAAGGAGAAGCGGCGGCGCACCGAACAGCTGAGCGCCGAGGAGCGCGAAGCGGCCAAGGAGGCAAGGAAAGTGAGCCGGGGCATCGATCGCATGCTGCGCGAGCAGAAGCGCGACCTGCAGCAGACGCACCGGCTCCTGCTGCTCGGTAGGTCCCGGCCGCGCGGCCGGCGGACGCCCCGGGGACAGCGCTCCGGGGCCGTGGGGGCAGCGCTCCGGGGTCGCGGGGACAGCGCTCCGGGGCTGCGGGGTCGACGGGGACCGGGGAGCGGCGACGGGAGGAGCTCCTGAATCCTGGGACTGGCGGCGGGCGCGGACGGGCTACAGAGCGTTTACACTGTGGGCAGAATGGTTCCCCTGACCTAGCCGGGAGCACACAACCGGCTGATTCTGCTCTTCTTGGTGCTTCGAGCTTTCTGCAGCTCGCTCGCTCTAATTAATAAGCCTCTCTGGGAAGTCTCCCCTCGATTGATCGCCTTCCACAGGGTCTAATCCCCGGGGATGTCTACCCAAGCCTCTCGCTTCCTGCCACACGAGGAGGCTGGCACTTTGTTTTGAGAACACAGATGAAAGGAGATTTATAAAGCCTTTTAGCTTGGCCGCAAAGCTTTTATTCCAATCGCGGTGTTGTGGGTGGGTGTGGCCTGCCTTTTGAGAAAGAACTTGAGCTGCACTTGCGTTTTACTGTGGAAGCTCAACGCCGGCGCTGGGAGGTTTGCTCTGCTTGAGGACCAGCAGCATGAGAGGGTGGCGAGCCCCAGCGTCCTGGCTCCGTAACTGCGTGCGGGAGGGCGGGCGCAGAATCCCAGCATTTTCAAGGAACCAAATGCTTGCTCTCCTAGTAGTATTTTTCAGAGCTTAGCTATAGCAAGTACGTATGCGCCTACGAGTTACAGAAAACATGGGTCTACACGCTCTACTGTAAAATGGAAAAAAAAAAAACCCATTATTTCCTGATACTACTTGTTGCCTTTTAAATTTTAAGACAAAATAATAATAATTAGGCTTTTGATCCCAATTTTGTGAGATGTAAGGAATAATAGTTGTTCAGGTCTGCGCTCTCTTTTATGCCTGGTAAAAGGAGCTATTCCATGACTTTAGCAAGATGCCTGCTTATAAGTGAATGCAACTTTTATTTATGATCTAGAATACAATAAATATTGAGTTTGAGAGGACTTGCCCACTGCAAGAATGAATAATTTAAAACAACACAAACCTAGCTGTTGTATCTGGTGAAATATCTGATTTCTAAAGCAAAGGGAAATGGTTTTGAAGACACAACAAAAAAACAGTAATTACACAGATTATCTCAACAGGAACGCGGGCTGAGCAGTAGCAGAGCTCTCCCCTCCAGTGCTCACCTCCAGAATATACTGAGCATGTGTTTCCAGAGGTCTGAGGATACAGAAGTGGAACTTTAAAATTTCAAACCTTGTTAGAGCATTATTGGTGTGTGAGGGCAAAATAAGTCTTCAGATATGCAAGTACTCAAAGTATACCCTCACCCACATATTTTTCTGGAAAGAAACAAACAAAATAGAGACAGAACGGTAGCTCATGCCTGTAATCCCAGCACTTTGAAAGGCTGAGGCTGGTGGATCACTTGATCTCATGAGTTCAAGACCAGCCTGGGTGACATGGTAAAACCTTGTCTCTACAAAAAATACAAAAATTAGCCGAGTGATGCGCTGGAGACCCTGTCTCAAAAATAAATAAATAAATAAAGTCTCATGTGTTGGCCAGGCTGATCTTAAACTCCTGGCCTCAAGTGATTCAAGCACATCAGCATCCTAAAGTGATGGAATTACAGGCCTGAACCACCATGCCCACCCTGGAAAGACATTAATTAGAAATTATTCCAGCCAAAATTTTTTAAATGCATCAAATTAAAATAATTCAAAAGGGGAGAATCTTTTTAAAGGGGGAGAGAATTATCATCTCAAGAAACTAGCAAAGAAGAATGAGCCAAATAGGATCAGGAGTTATAACAATATACTGTTCTTTTGATATGATTATACAGTTGAACATAATTTTAAAATAACAAAAATATATGGGAAGCAGAAAATGCTTTATATATAGTAAAAATAAGACTGTGAATCTGTGAAAAACAATGGGACTAGATATGGTCCGAAGAATAGAATGGTGAGCTCTGAAGAGTCAGCTTCTTGTAACACCTTTGAATGCACTCTTTGAAGACATCATCTCATAGCCTCATAGAGTTTATACATCAGCATCATATCTGAAGTGACATCAAATCAAATGACTCTCTCTATATGCTGCTTTTCCCAGATTTTCGGGGAAAGTATATTGTATCCTCCACCCAACGATATCTACACTAAAACACATACTGTTGACATTGTTTATTAGATATTATTCAGATTTGAGTTAAACACACACAGGTTCTTGATTTTATTAGGCTTTAAAATTGATTTAGCTGGAAATTTTTTAGTCAGAAACATGACTTATTGACCATTAATATCCTCAGATGATTGCTTCTGCTGCCATTGTGTTTAACAGCCATATATTCTTGCTCACTGACCCCATTCATTTGTTTATTTTGAAAATGTGCACTGAGAGATGGGCATTGGATTCACAGACCTCAGACTCAGCTCCAGCGGTGTCCTTTCTTTCTTTCTTTCTTTTTTATCCCCCCAGCACTTCAGGATGCTGAAGTGGGCAGATCACTTGAGGCCCAGAGTTCAAGACCAGCCTGGGCAACATAGTGAGACTTGGTCTCCAAATTTTTTTTGTTTTTTTGAGACACTAAGACAAAAGGTCTCACTTTGTCACTCAGGTTGGAATGCAGTGGTGTGATCACAGCTCACTGCCTCCTGGACCTCTTGAGCTCAAGCAATCCTCCTGCCTCAGCCCCACAAGTAGCTGGAACTACCCGGTGCACACCACCATGGTTGGCTAACTTTTGTATTTTATGTAGAGATGGGGTTGCACCATGTTACCCAGGCTGGTCTTGGACTCCTGAGATCAAGTGATCCACCCATCTCAGCCTCCCAAAGTGCTGGGATTACAGGCATAGGCCATCGTGTCCAGTCAAGTGCCCTTTGTCTCCCAGCCCCGCTAGTTTGAGGTGAGTCCCATCTCCCATCATCTCCTCGAGGAGACCTTCCCAGAGTCCTCCAGTGGAAATGCCATTGTTTTTTCTTCATCTTTCATTGACTGTGTTCACCACCTTCCTACTGGGGAAGGGTCACGACATTCCACCCTACCACCCCTTTAATATGGTTCTTTTCCCAGATTGTTATTCGAATTTTAAATGCTCGACTATAGATAGGATTTGTGTTTTTTACTTTTTTCAATTATTTCTTGTTATTGTTTGTGTATTTTCTATTTCTCTGTCTGGAATACATCTTTTAAGAAGTAAGCAATCTCTTTGGGACATTTGCTGGTTTTCTTTTGTATCAGAATGCTGGCATGATTTTAATCTGTGTCTTTAGGTGCTCTCAGAGGAGCACACACACGCACACACATACAAAACACAGAAGGAACGTTCTTCACTCTGGGGTTTTGATGACTTCTTTCCAAGTAAATGTCTCTTTCTTAATGAATGCAGAAGTGACCAAGAAAAGACAGCAGTTATAGACTTCTGCAGCAGCCTTGAGCTCATCCTTATTAACTGGCTGTCTTCATTTTTTGCCACAGCCTCCTGTGGCACCATGACTTTCAAAATCAAAAGAAATCCCAATATTCTAGCTATTCCTTAACGTTTCTGAAGTCAAAAGCATGACACATCCTCACAGCCTTAAAAAGAATGCAGTGAGATTGTTGCATTTAAGTCAAAACTTTTATTTTGTATAACTTGTTATAAACTGTTATATCAATGATACTAACTAAAATTTGATAGACTGGAAACTGCCTTTGTTTACTTGAAGCCTAATTTCATCCCAGGGATTTAGCTAATTCTTTCACCTGGCAAAACCCCGGAAGTTCAGTGCACTCTGTCAAAAATGCTCTCTTGGACTTTCCAACCGTCTCATGTTTATTCACATGATTAGTACTGGCCCTGAAAACAGACTCAAGCTGTTGTAGCTCCTGGTGCGTAGGTGTGTCATTGGAATATATGAGCATTTTATGAACACTTCTTTCAACATTTGGGGATATCCTATGATCCACTAAAAGATGCAGAGGGGCGTGTGTGATGGATAGAGCATGGCACTGGAGTCAGACGGACCTTGTCCAAGGCCCTTAGTATCCGTATCCTTCAGTTACATGAACTTAGGTAGACCCCCCTAGAGCTTCAGTTTCCATCTCAATGATAATCCTGATGCCACTGGCTTAGAGAGGAATAAATGAAATTAACTGAAATGATGTTTATAAATTCACATAATGAGATCACACGTCCTAGTAAAGCACATCCAGCCCCAGGTGCACACAGCCCACCGTGCGAGCCAGGATGAAGCCCAGACAGGCTGGCCTTGCCAAACAACATTAGCCAGTGGCTACAAGGCCAGCTGGAGGCAGGTGCAGCAGTCCAGTCAAGAGATGTGAGAAGGCTGGGCGTGGTGGCACACACCTGTAATACTAGCATTTTGGGGGACTGAGGTGGGCAGATCACCTGAGGTCAAGAGTTTAAGACCAGCCTTGCCAACAAGGTGAAACCCCATCTCTACTAAAAATATAAAAATTAGCTGGGCATGGTGGCGGGTACCTATAATCCTAGCTTCTCGGGAGGCTGAGGTGGGAGGATCACTTGAACCCGGGAGATGGAGATTGCAGTGGGTCAAGATCGTGTCATTGCACTCCAGTCTGGGTGACAGAGCAAGACTCAGTCTCAGAAAAAAAAAAAAAAAAGAGATGTGAGGAGGCAACCTCAGTCAGATGCGGTGATGATGACAGAAGGGGGCAGGCATGTCTGCAGGTGTGGGCAAAATGGAATCTCAGGTACCTGGTGGCTGATGAGATGGAGGGAAAGAAGAACATCTGGATGAAGGAATGTCACTGAACCCTTGAGTAAAATGGTGAGGACATTCTCTGAGTGAGGAATTTAAGAGGGAGAAGCAGATGGAGGGAGAAGAGAACAGTGAGCTCCTGTCTAGATGTGTTGAGACTGAGGGGACTTAGGTGTGCAGCAGCCAGTGGTTGGAGAGCAGCTGGGCATTTGCCATTGGTCTCAGGGAGGCTGCAGAGCCAGAA